TTTGTAAAAGAGAGATGGATCGATAACATGCAGAAGTCAGGTTATTCAAGAGTATTAAAACGGCTTATTCACGTTTGAGAAAAATAACAAAAAATTCTACAAATAATGCCAGAGGAGCGAGTTAAATTCACTCTGTTCTAACTTTAAAAAAGACATTTTAGAAAGTTTTGATTACGAGATCACACTTGAAAAAATTTGAGTAAAAGGAAAAGAAAAACTAGAATAAAATATCTTTTGTAAATATTCTGAAAGTGTTTTAAAATATGTTTATTCTTATTCTGAAGGGTAATAATTGAACAATATTAAATTTAAACTTATAAAAATAAAAACTATAGAATAGTTATAAAAGTTACTTTACGGAAAACAAGATAAGCCTGTGAGTAGGACGGGTATCATATACGTGAATAAGACAGGTATTGTATTGAAGAAGGACGGTACTGTATGTGAATAAGACAGGTATTGTTTTGAAGAAGGACGGGTACTGTATGTGAATAAGACAGGTATTGTATTGAAGAAGGACGGGTACTGTATGTGAATAAGACAGGTATTGTATTGAAGAAGGACGGGTACTGTATGTGAATAAAACAGGTATTGTAGGGAAGAAGGACGGGTACTGTATGTGAATAGAACGGGTATTGTATGTGAGTAGGACGGGTACTATATGTGAATAGAACGGGTATTGTATGTGGGTTGGACGGGTATTGTATGTGAATAGATTGGGTATTGTGTGTGAATAGGACGGGTATTGTCTGGGAGAAGGACGGGTATTGTATGGGCGAAGGACGCATACTGTTTGTGAGTAGGACGAATATTGTATGTGAGTAGGACGGGTATTGTATATGAGTAGGATGCCTATAAAACGTATTGTATGTGAGTAGGACGGGTATTGAATATGAGTAGGATGCCTATAAAACGTATTGTATGTGAGTAGGACGGGTATTGTATATGAGTAGGATGCCTATTAAACGTATTGTATGTGAGTAGGACGGGTATTGTATATGAGTAGGATGCCTATAAAACGTATTGTATGTGAGTAGGATGGGTATTGTATATGAGTAGGATGCCTATATAATGTATTGTAAGTGAGTAGGACGGTTATTCTAGATGAGTAGGATGCCTATAAAATGTATTGTATGTGAGTAGGACGGGTACTGCATATGAGTAGGATGCCTATAAAATGTATTGTAAGTGAGTAGGACGGGTATTGTAGATGAGTAGGATGCCTATAAAATGTATTGTATGTGAGTAGGACGGGTATTGCATATGAGTAGGATGCCTATAAAATGTATTGTATGTGAGTAGGATGGGTATTGTATATGAGTAGGATGCCTATATAATGTATTGTAAGTGAGTAGGACGGGTATTGTAGATGAGTAGGATGCCTATAAAATGTATTGTATGTGAGTAGGACGAGTATTGCATATGAGTAGGATGCCTATCAAATGTATTGTAAGTGAGTAGGATGGGTTTTTGTATAATTAGGATGGGAATTGTGTATGTACATTTTCACATTAAGAATTTGGAAATTTCATGCATTTCCTGCATTGAAATTTGAAATATGTTGAAATTTAAAAATATACAACATTCTTATTTTTATTTCAAAATATTTATTTCCTTATTTCACAGTATGTTTTGTATATCACTTCCCGATTTCTTATTCAAAATTCCTCACAAAGTTTTACATCTCTCAGCTGGGCCGGAAAAAAATCCCAAAATTTAATTTTCAGAGTCACGACATTTGTGTAATTTTAATTTAAGAAATTACAAAAAGTATATGAAATTATCCATAAGAAATTTCCTGACAAAATTATTGAAATCTGAAAACCTAGTTTTACAAATTTACACTGTCTTAAATTCTAGGCTCAATGTATTTGGTAGATTAAAGATCCGGGCTGGGAAGCGTGTGTATGATGGGATAATGGAGATATATAGAGTCTATATTCCCCCTTTTCCCCCATTTCCTGCTTGTGCTAGCTGGAACCTCCTCCCCTGAGCGTGCTGTGCTACGTGTGTGGATTTTTATAAATATTCCGCCGTAGGGGTCACTGAGTTTGTAGAAAGCTGGGAGAAAGTATGTGAAATGTTTTTAAGATCTACCTTATTTGCTTGTACTCAAGTATACTTGTCTCTATCTATTATAACTCTATTGGTGTATATCCTACTGTGAGACGAACTCCCTAACTTGTTAATTTCTACACAGGAATTAAATTAGTATTCATCACAGTGTCTATGCCAGGTATTTACAGGGGTACCAAACTAAATATTTAGAAAATGAAAGTTTCTAAATATATTTATTTATTTCCATTTGTGTTAGAAATTAGCGTAAAGAAAATAATCAGTAAAAGTTTTTTTGTCAACCATATCAAATATTTACACCATCAGGTTTCAAAGATATGGGGATTAGAAATTGTGAGTTTGTTGCAAAGACTCAATTCCTCTCAATTTTAATTACAATGGCAATAGTTTTTTTGGGAAAGCCCAAGATGTTAAAAGTATTTAATTGTTTACAACAATCAATGCAGAATGAACATATTGTTGTTATCAACAAATGAAAAACTATTTGGCATAATTTTTATTAAATCCTATTCAAGAATTGTATACTTATAATTTGTAATATTTACTTTTCAATTATTAATAATTAATAATCAATTAATAATAATAATATTTTGAAAGTAACTAGATTCTGTTAAGAAAATTACTATTTGTGCAAAGGTCTTTCTCATTCAAAAGATTATTTGCAGAAATATGTTTTCTTGAAAGTAAAAATAAAAAGCTCGGTTATTGAAAATCCTTTTTCATCAATTCTTATCCTGTTTTATCACTGCTGATTCTTTTTTATCATTTCTTATCCTTTTTATCACTGCCGATTCTTTTTTATCATTTTTTATCCTTTTTATCACTGCTGATTCTTTTTTATCATTTTTTATCCTTTTTATCAGTGCTGATTCTTTTTTATCATTTTTTATCCTTTTTTATCACTGCTGATTCTTTTTTATCATTTTTATCCTTTTTTATCACTGCTGATTCTTTTTTATCATTTTTATCCTTTTTTATCACTGCTGATTCTTTTTTATCATTTCTTGTCCTTTTTTATCACTGCTGATTCTGTTTTATCATTTCTTAATCTTTTTATCACTGCTGATTCTTTTTTATCATTTCTTATCCTTTTTTATCACTGCTGATTATTTTGTATCACTGCTGATTTTTTTATCACTGCTGATTATTTTGTATGACTGCTGATTTTTTTATCACTGCTGATTTTTTTATCACTGCTGATTTTTTTATCACTGCTGATTTTTTATTACTGCTGATCTTTTTTATCACTGCTTATACTGGTTTGTCACTTCTAATCCTAAACTGAATGAATATTTTGTTTACTACTTCTAACCAGGTAATAGAACTGACTAGTTTCCAATATCCAATATTCAATAACAATTATCTACAAATTATACTAAAGGCCATGAACAAATTGTTGTACAGTGAGAATGAGAAAAGTGGAATAGTAAGACGACAGTAAAGTAATATTTCATGTTAAATCAACGCAAATAGCTTTAATTTCTGAATCACTGAGTGAAATTGGTCTTTCTGTACACTGCACAATTGATAATCTCATAATCATTGCAGACTATATAAATTCATAATTCTAATGATATCTTCCTATTTCAGAGTCTTTTGTTTCTCACTGTTTCATATTTTTGATATTTTGATTGTTGCTGTGAACCCAACCCAAGGGTTTACAACTTGTATATAGTACCATACAGTATATATTGCTCCCAAGCGGCAATAAATCTAGCCCAAGCCAAACGCCAAGGGTATTGATCTCTTAGTATGTTTCCAGTCTGATAATCCAACAGGCTAAACCCTAAAGGATATTGAAACCTTCCTTATCTTGTTTATATCAAGTCAGTACAGTTAGACAGGGCAGAGCTAGGGAGAAATCAATGCCGGAGAAATGTATGTAACAGCACTCGATGGCCGAGTTAGAAAGGAGTTTCATCAGCCATCTTATGCCCCAAGACCAAGCCAGTTCTCAGTACTGAGCCTGAAGGGTCAAATGGAAATATATTCGCCGCAGGCAAATGTTGTGTTATTTAGATTAATCTTATAGTTGATCCAACGCTAACCGTTTGTATCGTTAAATGTAAATAAAGTTTGTGTACAAAAATGTTTTTCTATTCCACACAATCTTGGCTATTTACTACCAATCCTTTTTCAAGTCTATAGTTGAATCTTAGTTATTTTAGTAGTTTTGTCATTTCACTGTAAACTATGCCATTGAAAAATATTAAATAAAAAAAGTTTTTAGTTCTCTCTAATAGGCTTTTACATGATTTCAAAAACAGAATTCTATCGTAAAAATATTCGCAACCTACTTTCTTCACGTTTTAAGTTAAAAACTGTTGTACTTGGCAGAAATTAAATTCCTCACAGTAAAGTGAAAATACTAGAACTGTAGGATTGACACTGTATAAGGGAGCTAGAGGAAGTAAAATATACAGTCGAGGAAACGAAGTGTCATGTTTTTTTAATCAGTTTTGGATAGATAAAATAATGGAACCCTGAAAAAAAACATGCTTCAAATATGTCTTTTTCTAACATTGCAAACTTCGGTTTGTAAAATACAAAATAATTATTGTATAACATAAAATATTATTTTCTAAATATGTGAAAAGCGCTAATATTAAATTTTTTTATACTATATTTGAAAGACAAAATATGAATTGGCTAAAAGCTTGATTTTTCTTAAGCTTTTTGATATTTTTGTGTAAGCTTTCAATATTTTCTTAGATAGCTAGATATATATGTCTTTTCGATTCATCTTACCAAAGAAGCCAAAGTTTGACTTCTTAAAAAAAAGTTTAGATTTTTCATATTTCTGAAGAAATTTAAAAAAGCAAGTCATTACTTTTTATTGTAAGATGTCAGACGCTAGTGAGAATAAATATCCTTTGAATTTCTTTTCATGATTTAGCTGAATTCGTGTTGATCAATAATATTACCTGATTCAATTATATCTACAGATTGTCTAGAAGTATTCCCCTCGACTGTTAATGAGTAGAAACAGCTGTATTGTCTTCAGAGACACGAGCAGTCGGAGGAATTAGTGTTTCAGGGATTTTCATTTTCTACAAGATTTTCGCGGATTTTCGGGATTACATGAATTTGAGATTTTTAAGGTTTAGTTGATATTGTTAACAGTGATAATAAAGATTCTTTAGTGAGAAATATACTTACTGTCCGAAGAAAGCTTTTGGACGTTACATGAAGGGGGTTTCTTACAAGAGATACAGGGGATACAGGGGATACAGGGGATACAGGAGATACAAGGGATACAGGGGATACAGGGGATACAGGGGATACAGGAGATACTAGGGATACAGGGGATACATAGGATACAGGAGATACAAGGGATACAGGGGATACAGGGGATACAGGGAATACAGGGGATACAGGGGATACAAGAGATACACGGGATACAGGGGATTCAGGGGATACAGGGGATACAGGAGATACAAGGGATACAGGGGATACAGGGGATACAGGAGATACAAGGGATACAGAGGATTCAGGGGATACAGGGGATACAGGAGATACAAGGGATACAGGAGATACAGGGGATACAGGGATACAGAAGGGATACAGGGTTCAGGAGATACAAGGGATACAGATTCGGGGTATCCCTTATTTAAGGGATACAGGGGATACAGGGGATTCAAGGGATTCAGGGGATACAGGGGATCCAGGAATTGAGTATTTTGCACTCCCTGATATACTATTATTAAATTCCTACAGAAATTCTTGCCATCCTATATTTTCATATATTCTCAAACAACAATAAGTTTCAGGCGTTAACTTGTTTTCAATTTATTTTTATTAAGTTTGAGCAACATTCTCACTACAATTTAAATTATAAAAGTACAGTAAAGGGAAATATTTGATTAACGACCTTTAGTAAAACTGTAAATTTATTCTTTAGAAATTGGAGAGTATTTAAAGAATACATAAAAGTTAAAAGGTAATGATCACTTAATGAAACAGTACACAATTTTATCTACAACTAAAATGGGAATTCTTCGATAAGGAGAACTCCTGTCCTGTGCTACCAAGCTCAACTTTAACCAGTAGTTAAACCAGCCGTATTTAATTAAACTACTCTCACTATTTTATAAATTCAAAACTCAAAACTACTCATTTTCAAAACATTTTTTTTTTGACAAAAATCTCAAATATTTGCCTTTTCAACAATGACAAAAAAAACAGAGAAAAGGTTTGAAAACAAAAATATTTAGATAAAATAAATGTAATTTAGATTGTAAAATTTTTCAGTTTTACAGTCTACAGTTTCACAGACCACAGTTTCACAGTTTCACAGTTTAACAGTTTTACGATCTAACGGAATTGAAAAATCTTAAAATATTATAAATATTACAAAAGTAATAATTAATTTGAATTTTTTTTCCGAAACAATTAAAATTATGATATACATCACTGGTGCGATTTTGTGACCTCGCAGCTTCTATAGTTTAGGATTAAATCACAAGAATGAGAAAAGCAAAATTAATCCCGTTAGATTAGAAATGCAAAACATTTTTGTCTTTCTTAATAACTCTTTAATAAGATGAGTAAAGATTGAAAACATATTAGATCTTACGCAAAATTAACTCATGTTTGACGTGATGAACACCAGGTTTAATACATAGTACGTACATAGTCCATACATTGTGCATAACAAAGTACATAAATAGTGCATAGTATATACATAGTTCTTACATAGTACATACATTTTGCATACATAGTACGTACATAGTCCATACAAAGTACATAAATAATGCATGCATAGAGCATACATATTGCATACATAGTACATACATAGTGCATACATAGTACATACATAGTACATACAAAGTACACACATATTACATAAATATTACATACATAGTTCTTACATAGTACATACATTTTGCATAAATAGTACGTACATAGTCCATACAAAGTACATAAATAGTGCATGCATAGTGCATACATAGTGCATACATAGTACATACATAATGCATGCATAGTACATAACAGTACATACATAGTACATAGATAGTGCATACAAAGTCCATACATATTACATACATATTACATACAAAGTGCATCAACGCCAGATTTAGACTCCGACATTTTTCCGGATAATGGCACTTATCTCAGCTTCCTCTTCCTGACCAATTCCACTCAACCTGCACAAAATAACCAAAATTAAGCAATTAAAAAAATATTAGATAATTAAGGAAATAAGGTGAAGCAATTAAAAAAAAATAATGAAAGTTGATAAAAAGAGAAGTAAAATAGAAAATAATAAAAAAGATAAAAACAGGAAGTAGTTTAAATATATGAAAAGAAAATACTAAAAAAATAAGATAGTAAATAATAAAAAGTGGATAGTTAAAAAATAAGAATAGAAAATAAAAAAAAACAGTAATAGTAAATAAAAAAATGCTTTTATTTTTAAAATAGTAAAAAATAAAAGAATAATAAATAATTCTAAAAAATTGACTAATTAATGATAAAAAAGAAAATGGTAAATAGATAAAAAATACGAATAATGACCAATCTAAATTAGCATTAAAATATCGAAAAATAATAATAATAAATATTTTGACATGACTGCAAAAAGTGTCAAATTTAATTATTTTTTAATGATTACCTTAAACTATAACAATAAACCCTAAATTTTATTTAAAAAAAGATCTCATGGTAATAAGATAGAAAATTGAAAAAGCTGTGTTTTAGGTAAAAAGTGGTTATATTTTAACAACAAAATTGTTAGAATTTTGTTATAAAATAAATATATTTTCCTTTAAAAGATAGTTAGTAGAAATATAGATAGATAGATAATAACAATTTATATTTATATTTACAACTTTTTTTATTTTTTATTGGATATATTTTTAGACGTTGTATTTTTAGATACATAGCAGGGTTTTGTTTTCCCCATCTATCTTTTTACTATTGATTTTAATATTTATTACTGCATGTACGTCCTAAGAAAAATCTCTTTTAGGCACAATTAATTGTGATGATAGTTAAATTTCCTTTATATTCTCAATTCCATTCAATGACCATCGATCGGAAATGTTCTATAGATTTTAAAAATTGTCAAAAAAAAGTAAAACTTATACTTTCATGAGAGCTCTTGTATCTAAAAAAAGCGTTTTTTGGAACACCCTATAAGTTTTAAATACGTGTTAAAGCCAAAATAAATAAAAATGAAATATTTTCTAGTCTAACCTGAGATCCATAAACTTTATGCTTGTATTGGATTTGATTCCCTCCAGTATATAGTCTCCAGTATCTCCTTCGAATCTAAAGAAAATAAATATTGTAAATATTTCAAAGTGAAAAATGGTTTATGTTACAGGCATTGTTCGATGAAAATGAAAGGGGGATAGGTTGCTGCCTATTTACCCTACATACAGTGAGCCCTATTCAACTGTGGACTAGGAAGCTACGAATGTAAAAGGACTGTGAGGAGTAATGTCAAGTGACTCTTCCTGCACCAAGAAGACAATGTCCGATTCACAATGGTACACTTAAAAGCTTTGTCTGATTAAGTATGAATCTTTTTGTGTCTTCAAACTGATAATTTGCGGTTTCTCTGCAAAAGTGATTTGCGCGTTTTTTGCTTATAGGAAGCAATGGAGAAATTATCATAATAAAACACGACGGTTTCTTCCATCCACGTTTTTTATCAGAGCGTTTCAAGGGTACCGTTGTAAATCGGGGATTACCATTTTTTCAAGGGGGGGGGGCACTCAAAATTACGCAGACACTCCTTTTAAATCAATCTTCCCTATATTTTCTGTTGTCATAAAGCAAATAGTTTTAACCCGTAAATTGAACATTAATTAAAAGGGGCCCGGGTACACTACACTATTGTTGTGTTTATGTTCATTGAACTCTTTAAAAGATTAACTGGAGGGTTATAGTCGTCTTCCTACTTCATTGTTTTAGGAGTTTCATTGTATAATTATAAGTGCAATTAAAATGTCGATCTTTTATTCAAGTTGGATTTTTCGATCCGATATGTACACGGTTTTATGTCAGGTTGTTAATATTGATACCGATCTTATAGCTACATATATTATATATTATATAAAGGATCAACTAATATCCATGTCATTTTCCAAAACACTCCCTTTAAAAGTGAAGTTTATGATCTTGAGTTTGTATCACCCTCATGGGGTTAAAACAGAGTCAAAGATCCGGATCAAAAAGTACATTTTCCTCTCAGCTGAATGTATTGTATAACTTCAAGTTAAAGTGACAATTTAAAAATAATTTCATTTTAAAATTCATTTTTTATTATTTTATTTTCCTGTATCGATTAAGTTAAGTTTGTAACATTTCAAGGATCTTTAATAATCGATCGCTGACAATTGTTCAAGATCAATTTTTAAGTGCTATAGTTACATAATATTCACAGAGAAACAAAGTTTTTATTATTCAAATAGTTGATTTATTTTTTCAATTGTACATAATGGTTGTTGGAATAGTGGGGGGATATAAAAATACATAATTTACTAAGTAGGTGAGAGATAAAAATATATCTAATGTACCTGTTACATGAAAACTCCAGATGTTCTATCGTTCTATTCAGCTTCAGGAGATCTCTTAAATTATTTTGATAGTCAAAAAATTATTCAGATATTGAACGAGTGTTTTTTTCTTCAAAATTAAAAAATAGTGAAATTTTGCGAAAAGTAGACACTGAAAACTTAACAAGTTGACATACTTGTTAAATCAGACCCATGTGAAATATGCAGGATATTTATTCTAAATATGGTTTTTTATTTTTCAAGGGAAGCTTAACCAAATCCGGTTTAAAAAATAAAAATGTTCATCCCTCCATATTTCTTAAAATTATGGTTTTGTATAGATTTTATGAGCATTAAGATCGATAAGACAGAAAACTTAAAAGGGTCCACCAAATACCCCTATACCCCCTACTCCTTATCCTAGCCTTGTTAGGGTTAAATTATTTAATTATATATAAGACCTGATAGCGTGTCCAGTGTTTGATGTTAGTCTGTTTGATGCAAGACAAAACTTTATTATTTTCTTCTCAACTGACAAAGCTTTAAGCAAACTGATCCCTCCCTCATCCTAATATACAATTTTACTGTGATAACCAGAAAACAATGGAATAGGAAGACGACATTATAGTAATAATTAATTGTAATTGATGTTGTATACGAAGCAAATAGTCTTTCATTACTTAATTGAAATGGGCCTGTTTACACTGCACAATTGGCGTGTCTCATGTGCATTGGACTTATTAAAGTTACAACTTTGTATTAACAGTCGTCTTCCTTTTTTTCAGAGTTTGTGTGTACAATGTAAGTACACAGTGGTTAACGATTGGAATGATTGTCACCTTCGTTTTTTATGTTCCAACTATAGTAAACTTTAAAAATACTACATTTTTAGCCAGAAATTCTACATTTTAGAAAAAAAAATTAAGAAAAAGAATTAATCATTCTGCTGTTAATAGTTATCTGTGTAGATTACGATCAAAAAAGTTATATCTTGATTAAGAAATTGAGTCTTTGCCACTAACTCTGATTTTCTAATCACATTATCTTTGCAACCAAACCTCGTAGACCTTAGATTTTTCAAACTCTGAATTCTGGTAAATCAAATATTCCAAGTTTTAAATATCAAAGTTTTTACGCCATCAAGTTGCACATATATAGGGATTAGAAAATTGAAGGTTGTGGGAAAGACTCAATTCTTTTGTCCAGCAGAAATTTATAGTTTGACACATTAAAGGTATTAGGTAGTGAAGATCTAGCCTCACTTTTCTCAGAAACTTTAATTTTTAAAAAATAGAAAATTTTTGTCCATTCTTCAGCAATGTGTATCCTATCACACTAACCAAATATCTGTACAGTCCCTTTCAGCTGATTACCTGGATAAGATTAAGGTTGAAGTTGAGGGAGGTTAAACTTGATTTCCCGGAGGAGAGAAATATTGCAAAATGTGTAGCTCCTTCATTTCTTAATCTATACTCAACCAGGTTTAATAAATTAGAAAATATTTAGCTCCTTCATTTCTTAATCTATACTCAACCAGGTTTAATAAATTAGAAAATATGTAGCTCCTTCATTTCTTAATCTATACTCAACCAGGTTTAATAAATTAGAAAATATTTTGCTTTTTTACTTCTTAATCTATACTCAACCGGGTTTAATAAATTAGAAAATATTTAGCTCCCTCATTTCTTAATCTATACTCAACCAGGCTTAATAAATTAGAAAATATTTAGCTCCTTCATTTCTTAATCTATACTTAACCAGGTTTAATAAATTAGAAAATATTTTGCTCCTTCATTTCTTAATCTATACTCAACCAGGTTTAATAAATTAGAAAATATTTAGCTCCTTCATGTCTTAATCTATACTAAACCAGGTTTAATAGATTAGAAAATATGTGGCTCCTTCATTTCTTAATCTATTCTCAACCAGGTTTAATAGATTAGAAAATATGTAGCTCCTTCATTTCTTCATCATACTCAACCAGGTTTAATAAATTAGAAAATGTGTAGCTCCTTCATTTCTTAATCTATACTTAACCAGGCTTAATAAATTAGAAAATATATAGCTCCTTCATTTCTTAATCTATATTGAACCAGGTTTAATAGATTAGAAAATATGTAGCTCCTTCATTTCTTAATCTATACTCAACCAGGTTTAATAAACTAGAAACCAGGTTTAATAAATTAGAAAATATGTAGCTCCTTCATTTCTTAATCATACTCAACCAGGTTTAATAAACTAGAAAATATGTAGCTCCTTATTTCTTAATCTATACTCAACCAGAGATGGAATTTAAAGAATTTGAGCCGCAGTTTCAATCCGCCAAAATCAGCCAAAACCAGGTTTAAATTTAGCGCCAGCTTAAATCTTGAAACATTTGATACAGTTTTAAGTTGAATCAACCATATTTAAACCGCGGCTTAAATTTAAACCGCCGCTCAAATTCTTTAAATTCGGCCACAGGTTTAATAAATTAGAAAATGTGTAGCTCCTTCATTTCTTAATCTATACTCAACCAGGCTTAATAAATTAGAAAATATATAGCTCCTTCATTTCTTAATCTATACTAAACCAGGTTTAATAGATTAGAAAATATATAGCTCCTTCATTTCTTAATCTATACTCAACCAGGTTTAATAGATTAGAAAATATGTAGCTCCTTCATTTCTTAATCTATACTCAACCAGGTTTAATAAATTAGAAAGTATGTAGCTCCTTCATTTCTTAATCTATACTCAACCAGGTTTAATAAATTAGAAAATATTTTGCTCCTTCATTTCTCAATCTATACTAAACCAGGTTTAATAAACTAGAAAATATGTAGCTCCTTCATTTCTTAATCTATACTCAACCAGGTTTGATAAATTAGAAAATATTTTGCTCCTTCATTTCTTAATCTATACTCAACCAGGTTTAATAAATTAGAAAATATTTAGCTCCTTCATTTCTTAATCTATACTCAACCAGGTTTAATAAACTAGGAAATATGTAGCTCCTTCATTTCTTAATCTATACTCAACCAGGTTTAATAAACTAGAAAATATGTAGCTCCTTCATTTCTTAATCTATACTAAACCAGGTTTAATAAATTAGAAAAGGAATTGACTCTTTGCCACAAACTCTGATTTTCTAATCCCTATATCTTTGGAACCCAATGTCGTAAACCTTTGATATTTCAAACTTATATTTTTTGATCTAACAAAAGTCATATTTTGAATTCAAAGGTTTACGACGTTGGAATCCAAAGATATAGGGATTAGAAAATCAGAGTTTGTGGCAAAGAGTCAATTCCTTTAAAAAGAAAATTTTCAAAATTGAGAGAGCCAAAGGTTTAACAAATTCAAAAATGTTGATGCAAAAATGTTGATACAAAAATGTTGCAAAATTCTGATTACTAAATCCTATTATCTTTGCAGCCTGATTTTAAAAACCTTTATTATTTAAACCATTTTTTTAAAAAAGGTAAATTATTTTTTACAAAGAAATCATATTGTATAAAACATATCCTGTTATTTCTACCATCTCTATCTGATTTTTAATTTTCATATTATTAATATTTTCGCCTTAAATTGATATTCAGTTTGTTAATATCTTTTTAGTGGAGACACTCACACCATAAACAATATCTTTTTTATCAATGTTTAGATTTAAAAATCAACAGAAAAAATCTCCAAGCTATCTTTGAAATGTCCTATCAATTATTTCTTTAAATATGCTATCTAAAAAACTCTATGATTTTTTATCTATGAAATGTCTTTAAATCAAATGTCCGAACACTGCGAAATTTGTGGAAAGAGTGTATTACATCCTTGAATATAAAGAGAAAAAAAAATTCATAAAATTGTGCAAAAATTGATTTTTTCAATTTTAGTTAAAATTTAATTATCAATTTTCGTATAACTTTCTGTGAATCGTATTTGATAAGTGGCAGCTTGAGATAGATAAAATGCCGGCGAAAAATAAAACAAAAAATATTTTTAAAAAATCTAATTTTGAAATAATTATTAAGCCTCCTGTTGTTGGATAAGTTCAGTGTTCTGACATTCTAAAAATAATTTATTTCTTACTTATTTGTACCTGCCAGAATACTTTTTAGTAGAATAAAAGTAATACTTATTTTCGGAAATGGGATCGAGCACATTTTTGAATAGGCCTAATTTTGAAGGTAAAACGCCCTTTTAGAGAACATTTTTTATAAAAAATTTCAAAAATTTGTAAAACATAAAAAAATTATGCCTTGTATATAAATCCTTAACGCATAGTTTTAGCACGCCAACGAATCTTTATGGGTCACTCTTTGAACCAGGAACCAAGATACACAATGATTTTTATCTTTAAAATATTCAGACCATTTTTCTCTTTAAAAGTTCAGACAATACCTTAAATAAGAAAATGTAATATCAAACTGTGAACTAGACAGAAAAAGAAGGTAAAATTTTAACGACAATATTGGTGCGACTTTGTGACCTCTTAGTTCCTCTAGATTTGATTTCACTTAAAAAATTTTTATTTTCATTATTTTAATAAGAGGAGTTATGAAAACACATTGAAGGATTTGAGTCTTTGACACAAACTCTGATTTTCTAATCCTCATATATTTACAGCCTAATGTTATATACTTTTGATATTTCAAACTATGAATTATGTTGGATAAAATAATCTAAGTTTGAAATGTCAAAGGTTTACACCAAAAGATTGCAAAGAAATAGGGATCGGAAAATGTGAATTTGTGGCAAAAACATAATTCCTTTCATCCCCACATAAAATTTAATTTCGTTTGGCGTCATCACTAGTTAGATGATGTACATTACACTTAAAGACAGTCAAGTTCCTTAAAACGTTGAAGCTTTTGAATATAGAGCAAAGGGAACCATGTATAACATAATTTTAAGTTGGTCGTATAATATATATATAGCTAGACGTTTAGGCGCTTCCCACCCATCTTCTATTACAACTTTTAATTGTGGATTTACCTATGAGCCTCTTCTCTTTGTACAGTAAAAAAAAATACAAACAAAATTTTGCGGATTTCATAATATTTTAATCGTTCATAAAACTTTCCTGGGGTCACGTGAGGTCCCACCCAAAATTTAGGCCCGATCGGTTCAGCCGTTTTGACGTTTATTGGATACAAACGGACAGACAGACAAGCAAAGTATATATAAAGATAAAGCTCTTTGTACGTATATTTTTGCTAATGCCACGGCAGCGCCGGACACTTCAGCCAGTCACATTTTGACGCATTGTTAGACTGGTGAACTAAACACATAGAACAAGAGAATTAGTCATTATTTAAGGACAAAATATACAAAATTAAGCAAACATAGAATACAGATTTAGCCTCATTGTTTATTCTCTGCGGATTCTGTAGTTTAACTTTACGCATTTCTTTCTTTCAGAGATATTTAAGACAAAGGAAATTACTCTTAAAATTAAAAAATGGTTGAGATTTAAACTAGTTACAGATGTACTTCATTAAAAAGGAAGAGACTGGCCAGAACCGCGTCGCTGAACAGCTATTAAATCGTGTCTAGACGCGGTTCAAATTATTTAAATTCTTCCTGAGGTATGGTAGTAAAACTGAGAGGTCAGTATTGAAAAAAATTAACTTAGGTGTCAAATGAATCTTAATGTTTTTCTCTATAGTTTTGCACACTCAGTTCAAGTACAGGGTGTCCCTATAAACATGAGAATTCAGTGACGAATTCGATATCGTCTTTTTTAATAATTCTTTGATTTAGTATAGTGATACCTACTGAGAAAGCTATAATCTATAAGAGTTTCGTCTGCTATGTTCACATGTTGTTTGTTTATGTTTTGACTGCATACGGTTGTACTTAGTAAAATAAGAAAATTGCAGTATACAAACAGATTAAACTTGTCCGTCTTCACTGTTCATCTTGAGGAGACATTTTAGACACATCTTTACAGTCTTTTACACTTTTCATAAAATAAACTCTAGCAGACAAAATAATATTATGGCTTTTGAAATAAGGTATTACAATGCTAATTCATAACAAAGACGATATCGAATTCGTCACTAAATTCCCATGTTTTTTTGGGACACCCTGTACCATACCTAATCAGTCACTCCCTTTGAGTCCTCAATATAAAATATCTCTATTGCATAGAAACTGGGTTTGGGTTAAAATAAAACAAAGAAGATAAGAGGAGGTTCTCGGGAGGGGAGCTACGCCACGACGAGCCCTACAGAGCTATGGCTGGGCAAAGTTTCGTTAACGAAACAAAGGTATTCGAGAATTAACGGAAGAGTTTTTTAACGAAACAGATTATCTGTTTATGAAAAAAGAAATTAAAGGTTGAAAACGTAAACGAAACGGATGGGATTTTTTTTAAATCGGCAACTTTCGTTTTGTATTTGCTAAACTTGCATGAAACTTGCAAAAAAAAATATTTTGAACTGTATTTTAGTTTTTAAGTTTCTTTTTCAGTGATGGAACTTTTAAAGACTTTTTTTTCGCAATTTGGTGATGGCTTGTCCGTGCATCCAATTTAGTAAACTGTTAACAATTTTTATATGGAAATTTTGGAGTTTTGGCAAACCGTTACAACCGTTAATACTACAAACAACCGTTATAGAATTTTTTTGCGCAATTTCTGAACGACTAATGCCGTTAATTGCAAAAATCAACCAAATTAACAGCAGAATATTTTCCGTTAAAGCCGTTAATAAAATTGGGATCGTTAGCTGACGGTAACTTTATAAAAAAAAGGAAAATAGTGTTAACGATATACGAACATTCCGTACTTAACTTTAAAACTAACGGCTACCTGAAAATTTTATTTTTAACGGTTGGAACAAACCATTAACGTCTAACGTTAGAAAAGTTGGACCGTGGTCAGCCCTACCTACAGCATCATAACAGTGCAATTTCCCTAGCGACAACATCCCGAAGATTAGTTTAGGCATTCTGAGGCCTCGCAGACTGCAATGGGGGCCCAAGCGCTGCGGCAAGAATGTGCTACGGACCGAGCAATGTGACTAGAACAGGCTGGGGGCCTAGAGCCGAGGCTAGGAGATACTTGTACATTAAGTTTTCACTTGAGAAGTTAAAACACTGGTAGCTCACAAAATTCCCTCCAAACCCCTCTAAGGATTGAACAAGAGAAAATCTTTTCCTGCAGATAATTCAATAAAGAAAAAATTTGAAAAATTAAAACGCCGTGACTCCACCCCTTCACGTAAAACTAACTACATCGAAATACATGATGTCTCTATTTGAATATTTTTAGTTGCATTTTGATCTCTCATTTAAAATCCGTAAAAAATAACGTAGATCTTGTATAATTAAATATAAATATATAAACAATAAAGTATGAAATAGTAAATTCGTAATTTTTAAATGCAATGGTTTAAAATGGGTTCTAATGTTTAGACTTACTAGGCACTTAACCAAGACCTCTAGTTTACCGTGCCTTGAGTTTATTTACCTTGCCTGTGATAAATTTGACAAGAGGTTCAATACTCTCATCTGTGATGATATTATTTGGGAAATCTAGAACTGTAATCAACTTCATCTTCTCCAGGCCGTCCAGCACCATATAAAGGATAGAGTCAGACACCTAGAGCAGGACAACTTAAAGGGACAGTATGGGATGGTCAGACACCTAGAGCAGGACAACTTAATGGGACCGTATGGGATAGTCAGACACCTAGAGCAGGACATCTTAAAGGGACAGTATGGGATGGTCAGACACCTAGAGCAGGACAACTTAAAGGGACCGTATGGGATAGTCAGACACCTAGAATAGGACATCTTAAATGGACCGTATGGGATAGTCAGACACCTAGTAATAAATTAGNGTCAGACACCTAGAGCAGGACATCTTAAAGGGACCGTATGGGATAGTCAGACACCTAGAGCAGGACAACTTAAAGGGACCGTATGGGATAGTCAGACACCTAGAGCAGGACATCTTAAAGGGACTGTACAGAATATAGAGTCAGACACCAAGAGCAGGACAACTTAAAGGGACCGTATGGGATAGTCAGACACCTAGAGCAGGATAACTTAAAGGGACTGTACAGGATATAGAGTCAGACACCTAGAGCAGGATAACTTAAAGAGACTGTACAGGATATTGAGTCAGACACCTAGAGCAGGATAACTTAAAGAGACTGTACAGGATAGAGTCAGACACCTAGAGCAGGATAACTTAAAGGGACTGTACAGGATATAGAGTCAGACACCTAAAGCAGGGAAACTTAAAGGGACTGTACAGGATAGAGTCAGACACCTAGAGCAGGATAACTTAAAGGGACTGTACAGGATATAGAGTCAGACACCTAGAGCAGGATAACTTAAAGGGACTGTACAGGATAGAGTCAGACACCTAGAGCAGGATAACTTAAAGGGACTTTACAGGATATAGAGTCAGACTCTGAGAGCAGGACAACTTAAAGGGACCGTATGGGATAGTCAGACACCTAGAGCAGGACAACTTAAATGGACCGTATACGTTATTTTAATTGAGGTTCGTTTCTGATTCATAACGATATCCATTCAACTTGACGTCTGATCAATTTGTATGATCCTGGAGGAGAAATCTTTATTTTTCGAACTGAAAAATGAGTGATCAGAAATGCCGTTATCATTGAAAACCTGGAGAAAATTGTTAAAGACGTCTCATACCGAATAACTTAGCGCCCATACAAATTCAGAAAATTGCAACATACGACTTAGACCGTAAAAAAATCAATTCAATTCCAAACAAATCATTCAGATATTACAATCTATAGTCATCGATTATCTTTCGCCACATTTGCATATAGTTTATATTTTATAATATTTTTTAATTAATTTGTTTCGAATTTGATTATTTCTCTTGTCTCTTGCGCAAGGGTGTAATGCAAGGAAAGTCAATTGCGGTTGTGTATACTCTGTGTACATATTAAAACCAGTTCTCTCTGGGCGGAATTTGTAAACAATAATAGATGCATCAGTGTTCGTTTAGTATCCGAGGAGGTTAAAAGCATTAAATTTTGATAATTTTTAAAAATTCACATAATTGTTTCCTATGACCAGAATATTTCATTGATTTTTTATGTAAAAGATGGATCCCATGTCAGGCTTCGACATCCGTCTTGTGTTTACATTAGCGCCCAGAGAGAGTACACTGCAGTACAAAAGATGTGTACACTTCTGAAATAACTTTCCTTGCATTACATTCTTGCTCTTGAGCAACTATCTAAGAATGCCGCGCACCACTCACATTTTTCGAAATCCGTTAAAAACGTTTTCTTAAAAAAATAATATTATAAAATATAAACTATATACAAATGTTGCGAAAGATAAGCGATGACTATTAAGATAAAGATAAAGAGTTAAATCTGAAAGCCCCCCCAATATGGGAGACCCAGACCGCCCAAGGGGTTAAGTAACTTAAGCCCTGCCCTGACTATTAGTTGTAATATCTGAATGATTTGATTGAAATTAAATTGCTTTTTTACGGTCTAAGTCGTATGTTGCAATTTTTTTAATTCTGTATGGGCGCTAAGTTATTCGGTATGTCGAGACGTCTTTAACAATTTTCACCTTATAGACGCAACAGATAGAAGTAAGATAGAAGTAGTAGCGATCAAAAGCGCTTTTTTTATTGCATTAAGACTATACCCTCTTTCATTTTTCGCCGCGAACACTCCCTTTAAAGAATTTCAAAATCCTAACCTTGCTATTCTTAATACTGATAAGTTTAATCTTGTTTATCTGTTCTAACCCTGTCCCAATATTATCTGCATCCTTCTCTGTCAAACCAAACATACTCCATCGAAACTCTAGTCCACACTTTTTCACCTGAATATATAAACAAATATGAAATGGTAAATCTAATTAATCTCGTAGCTACTGAAATCTATATGTCATTTAACAAGTAACCATGTATTGGATCTATAATCAATATCGATCAAGGGCGCTTATACAGAATTAAGCAGGGGTCACAGATTTCCTCAGCGGCCCACCATTCCACCATTCCAGCTCTTCGTCATCATTCACTTGGATCAATTCACTTGAAGCTTCTTTTAGTAGAAGCACCCTTTCTCTGCGAGAGTTGTTTACAGCCGCCCTTCTGTCCTCCTACATCCGTCAGGTGGTCATAACTGCTTAACCAGATGCTTCAGATGTTTTTGAAACCACATGCTTGAGTGGAGTACGGGAATCGAACCCGTGCACACCAGTCTGGATACCAATCCAGTTACTGGTTGTGGACAAGTGTGCTTAACTTCAGTGATCTAACGAGAACTGAATCTGATGTCACACACTCTCCACCCCACCCCACGCAACGAATAAAAATGATTTCATGGGGGGTGTAGTTTCCAACCCTGGAGGATTCAATAAAATGTTTTTATTTTCCTAAATATTTGAAAAAGAAATAAGTTACTAAATATTTCTAAAAAATAGAATCCTAAGAATCCCAAAACAGAATTCCTTCATTTTCATTTTTCAACTTCTACATCTTATTAATATTAAAATATTTAATAAATACCTAAATATCTAAATACACATTTGATAAATATTAAATACATATTTTAAACATATTTGATAAAAATTGTATATTCTGCGGGTGTCCCATGAAACATGACAGTAGTTAGTGAATAATTTGATTGAAAGATTTTTCAAAGAAATAAACTACAAGAAGTCTTTAATCTGATCTACAAAATATGGCAGAAAGCATAAAAATTATTCACCACCTGTCATGTTTCTTGCGACATCCAGCATATTCTATTTAAATATTAAGAATTAAGTTGAAAATTCAAAATATCATTTCCGTGAAACTTAAAATTAACAAAACGTTATTTTTGGTTTGTTCCAGTTCCTTTAGTTAAAAAACGCATCCCAACTTACTCTAATTGTCATGCCCCCATTTCTTTGCAACCAGGTGATGTAAACCTTTGCTTTCACACTTAGGCTATTTGAATATGTAGTTTAAAATATCACAGGTCTACGACATCAGGTTGCAAATATGTAGGGCAGCCCTTCAACATTTGCTGCCGTTACTTGGACACATGACGTTGATCATAAGGATTGGAACAACAACAATTTCATATATTTTGACCATATTTAATACAAACCAGAGCAGTCAAATTTAGAAAATTAATTAAAAGGAACAAATTTTTAAACCATGTTCAGGTTTACAAAACATTATTCACAAGTTCAGGAATAGGACATTTTAAAATTAAAAATGATTAGAAAAGTACTTTTTTAGATTTTTTATAATAATCCATTATTTCTGAATATAATAACTGAATTTAAAATGAAATAAAATAAAGCGTCCATCTTGTATTTGCTTTAAAAGATTGGAACATGTGGAACATGTTGAAGTCAATTTAAAAAGGGATGTAACATTTTTAAATTAAATAAATAATGTAGATCAAATATGCCTAGAAAATGTACTTGGAATAAAATATAATAATTAAACAATTTAAAATAAGTTACGTTATATTAAAATAGTTATAGCTTGAAATTTTTAGTTCATATTTATAACATATGAAATAAAATAAAAATAAATTTTCAAAACCCATCAATTTGTAACATTAGATCAGATATATATAAGATTACATGACGGAAATAAAATTTGAAAAAAATAACATTTTGATTAACATAATCTATATATAAATTTGGCTTGTCTGTCTGTCTGTCTGTTTGTCTGTTTGTTTGTATCCAATAAACGTCAAAACGGCTGAACCTTTTTTTAAGATCTAGATATTTATTATATTATATAAACTGCACAAAATTGTTCACATGTATTTAATACAACTATTTTACGATACTATCGTGTACATATATTCTTAAACTAAATAATAAAAAATCATACGGATACATTTTATCGTTTTTTCCTTTAATTAGAAATTTGGATTTAGGGATACTTGGATCCTGCAAGACATACAAATTGAAGAGTGCAACAATGAAAGTGTAGAGAATAAATTGCATATAATTAGTCGGTGACGAAGATTTTTTAAGAATCGTCTGCATATAATTTGAGCATTTAATGTGGAAAATCAGATTGAGCAAGC